AAATACTGAAAGATACAGGATTATAAAACTGCATTTTGGAGGAAAAAGCAGTCCTGAAAGCAAGGGAGAAACATCCATCTTCTCAAAACCACTAATCCAAACTTTTTTTAGTTACAGCATCACCTGCCCTATCTTATCAACAGAAATTAGGGCTAACCAACACAGTAGGAGGAATTGAAAAATGAACAAATTTCAGAAACGGAAGCAGTAGTCTTTGCTCAGAAACTTCAGTGAGAAGGTGGGATGGAAAATTCTGCAATCACATAATGGTCAAGTATTTCCAAAATCTAAAAAAAAAATTAAAGCACAAAGATTAACTCACCCTTCCGCTCTGAGAGCACAGCCAGGACATCAAGAGCTGACCTCTGTACTCTGAAGCAACCAATCAAGATTTGGCTTATCTTGCTTCCCAGAGGATAAGCTGGAATTAGGAGGCCATTACAGAATTGTAATATTGTTATGAGAGAGCGTAGCAAAGATGTATAGGGTAAATCCACTGGCAAATGCATCTAATGGAAGGAAAAAAAGCAAGTTTCCAACAAACGTCTCAAACGTGCATCAAGACCAGGAGTTTTTGGTCAGGACTTGGGCAAAAACTGCAATTTCTAGTGTGCCCTTTCTTATCAGGCCACAAGGGTGATAGCTATGAACAAATTATCTTCCTCTTTCCCAGAGAACTATGGCACAGATGGAAGATGGTTCCTACCACTGCTTGGGAAAGCAGTGCAATTTGTTTTTCGGAGGATCGATATTTGCAGGAGAGGTAGGGTATGGGTAATTAAGCTTGTGAAGGTGGATTTGAAACTAAATGCAGTCCTTCTTTACAAGCCTCAGTATTCTTCTGTTCTCTTATTTGGAGTCTAGCGTGCTAGATTTCTTTAACATAGGGAAGCCCCCCACTGTCATCCCTTCTCCATGTTCTGTAAAGTTCTACTGCGCAAGTTTGCAACCAATCTTAATGCTGTCTTTCAAGGACCAGTCTCATCCCTGGGCTTTTATCTTCTCTGAATGTTACCAGAGACAGCAGCTCCTCCAGATGACCAAGAGTCTGACACAGGAGACTAGCACAAGATGACTTGGAGGACAGAACGCTTTCAACAGTGGCAGGATCTGTGACAGACTCATCCAGCAAACCTGGTGGAATGAAGGAGAGAAGAGGTCAGGTTGCTATTTAGTGAATACAAAGGACAGTGATTTTAAAATATGTAAGTTAATCAAGAGTTTGACAGATGTAATTGGAATGACATCCCTTCAAATGTAATTCTCAATCAGCAGGACGCTGAACTTCACCAAAAACACTGGTACTGCCAACAACTCCTTCTACTCTTCCTCCTCCACCAGACACTAAAAACCCTGGCAAGCAGAATAGTCTCTAGCTTTTCTATCACCACTGTACCTGCATATTCCAGGGGCTGGGAGGCTGCTCTTAAAATACAGTCCATTGGCTGAAGCAGAACAGTCAGTGCCTGAATCCTCACATTTTGTGGGCTTCAAAGGAAGAAACAGCAGTCAAAAACAAAACAAAAAACCCTTCAATTCTTTCTCAAGCCATGTGCCCCCAATGTTGATCAGAAGAACAGCATTTTTCACCTAAGCTTCTAACCAAGCCAGCAACCGGCAGAAGAGCAACAAAAGTAACCAGGATTCAAGCCTTCTTCCAAGCTTCTTGGCTAAACCAAGAGCAGAGGAGAAATGGCTGTGGAACTTATAAGCAGCCTCAGCAAGAAATGCAAGTAACAGAGACAGTGGGATCTTGGGTGCAAAGGTGTTTTTTTTTTTTTTTTCAAAAGGGAGGCATTTCTTCTCAACCAAACAGTACCCTTATAGCTTAAGACTCAGGCGTTACTTCACCTGTAAATCAGTATCTGCATGTGCAATATTACTTTAACACCTGAGGATTTCTTCGTGCTTTTTCTACCATCTAAATGGGAATTATGGAGAAGATGCAGGCAGACTTCTCAGAGGTGCACAGTGATAACATGAAAAGCAATGGTCGTAAGTTGCAACAGGGTAGATTCCAACTGGTATAGAGAAAACATTTTTCTTACAGAGAGCGGTTAAGTGCTGGAGGCTGCCCAGAGAAGTTACGGAATCCCCATTCTTGGGGATATTTAAACCTTGACTGGTGAGGGCCCTGAGCAACCCGACCTACCTTTGAAGTTAGCCTTGCACCGAGCAGGAGGCTGAATTAGATCACCGCTACTGGTCCCTTCTAACCCAAATTATTCTTTGACTGTTGGCAGGGGTCCCCACATGGCAAATTTCTGCCGGAGAGCACTTCAAGTTTGTACACTAGTCAATGGTTTTGTGAAAGAAAACTGAACAGAGAGAACAATGAATTTGACAGGCAGTCAAACTGTGTCCACCTAGTCATTATAAAGTTAAAGTAGTCTGCTATTTCTGCCCGACAGACTGGCTGGCTCTAGATAAGAGGCAAGCGTGTACCTGTAAGCATGACATTGGTTTCTTTGAAATTGTATTATTCTAGCTATCAGTGTCTGAAACTTAGTTAACTGTGGGCATGGTCTTGCCAACCACTCTTAGGTGTTAAGGAACGTAGTGAAAAACAGTGAAAACAACAGCTCTCAGAACGGGACTAGACATATCTGCAAAGCGCAAAAATTTTACAGCAGCAACACCTACCATTTGTGGAGCCTCAGAATTCCTACTGCCAAGGGACCTGCTTGTACAGGGGTTAAATGTTCCAGAGCAGATGTCACTAATGCCCAAAAACTGCCTTCAGTGTCACAAAACACAGGAGATCTAGGAAGAAAGAAGTGTCAACAATATACCCTATAAACACAGAGGCTGGAAAACAGATATTTCTCATCACTCGATCCAAGCTCCCAAAAGATCTTCACCTTGCCACGTTAAGCAAAAGATCCGCCAGCATGTGCTGTGCTTGAACAGACTCTTCCGTCAAAAAGGATTCTACTTGCTTTGCTACACCTAACCAAAGTACTTCGGTCCATGGAGCATGACAACAGCCAAACAAACTAGTTAACAGTTTTAATGACTGCTTGATTCGAGAGACAGAGCTGGACTGAAGGGAATCTTCTATACGCTTTATAATCATTTGGGCACACACTGGCCAGTCACAATCCTTTGCACTGAGAGGTTTAGTCATTTCAGACTCTAGAGAGAAGGTGAGCATGTGCACCAGAAGCCGACTGGCAGCTGAAGCCACAAACAGGCTGGGATCTCCTTGCAGAGTGAAGATCACATCTATGCCTCCTGTGTCAAAACAAAACAAGTCATTGAAGGGGGGGGTGGAGGGAGAGGGGTAAACCCTTTCTATTTTGAGGCAGATGCCTTGTTGCAGTCCAACCATATATCACTCTAATTAAAGTATCATTCAGATTTAAATGCCTTTTTTTTTTTTTTGGCAGTCTCTGCTGCAACTCAAGGTCAGCCTATCCTTACCAAAAAGCAGAAGAAGAAAGAAGAATTATTTTCATGTGATACTAGTAACTGAGGAACAGAAGAGGACTTCAATGTAATGTCAGTAGTATCAGAAGAGTTGAGAGCATGCTCACTGTATATTTATGGGAGGAGCTTGTACTATCTGCAGACATGACTGGTAAGGAAAAAAGGCAACTGCAGCAACAGTACTGCTTTTCTATTACATGGCTAGGAGCACGTGTGCTGCACAGGTTAATACCAATTCAGTCTTTTAAGCCCCTCCACACATGGAATCTAAGCCTGGTGTTAGCAGCAGGAAAACTTACATACCTGCAAAAGGACAATGGGACTGCAAATGTGAGTGAGCATTAATAGAGAAAACTGAGCCCCTGGTTTGTTTTTCTGAAGTAAAATCATACTGAAATTAGAATACAGTAGGTTTCTAACAAGCTCTTTTTATCGCAGCTTTTGTAAGATATGCCTTTTCCCCCCTCTGACAGAAACACAAGTTTAGTGTTGAAGAAAGGGAAACATACAACTAGTTTAACAAAGAAACCTTCTTTCAGAAACTTCAGTTTTTTCACACATTGTTTACTTTTCTCTTAAGTAAAGTAAAATAACCACACTGGCATGTGGTCTCCATGCTGTCCATCTCATTTAACATCTCAGCAACAGACTGGAATGGAAGAGACACAAAAGATATCAGGAGCTGCTAGTTCTGAAAGTACTCACCACCGCTGCAGAGGAAGTGGAGGGCAGGCTGGTGGTGCATCATGTTGCGCACACCCTCCACCCAGCCACTTCGCACGGATGCATCTTCCCACACCACACTGTTCAGAGACCCGTCTTCGCCAAAGAGCCTGCCCAACAGCTTCTCCTGCTGAGGCCAGAGGAGAACACACAAGTAAACAGTAAGGAAAGGGCCTTGAGAGGAGTGGAGGGGCTGCTTAGTCATCCCAAGTCAATAACATTGATACTGTAGCAAGGCCTTCTCTTGCCTTGTATAACTAAAGAGGAAAACATTCAGAATCCCATACTTAAACTCAACAGCGATACCGTAGTGAGGCCTTCTTTTGCTAAAAGGATAACTACAGGGGAAAATTTTGTTTTTAAGATGCTGGGGACAATTTAAGTAGACGTCGGTTCCATTAGAGTCCTTTGTCACCTGCACCTCTTCCTCGAAGGCAGCCCTTTGGGTTTTGAGTTTTGTACTGTAAATCTATGCCACTGAATAAAGCAGGGCTTATAATACTCCCTCATTTTTGCAGGGCATAAATGAGAGATTTCCTGTCAATTTACTACAGAGGAAAAACACCATCTGTTATTGCAGTTTAAATGCAAGAGATCTGTCTAGGGATGTAATATTCTGCAGTTATGGCTGCAAGATGCTGTTATCCCATATACTGTTTTGAACTGAAAACGAGAAGCACCCCACAGCAGCGTTTATAGTGCTGTTGTTACAAAATAAAAGAAGACAGCAGCTTTACGTGAGAACTGAAAAAGAATAGTATGATTATATGCTGGTAGTAACATACTCCTGTTTGATGATTTCTCTGACGTATGTTATAAATTCTGTAAGCAGAATACATATATTTTTTTCAGGCGTTCTCAAGAAGGAAAGAGGTGGAAAGAGCCATGTGGCAGCAGGTACCTGACTCACCTGCAAGTGCTGGAAGCAGTCTTCGGAAGCTGCGAGCATCCCTGCTAACCGCAGAGTAAAGGACAGGATGCTTGGACTCGGCTCCGGTAGCGCCAGCACAGAGGTGATGAGCTCTGTCAGGCAGGGGTTGTCCTGCACCAGCTTCAAGGTAGGCCCTAGCGACGGGGTGTTGCCCAGGGAGAAAAAAACAGAGAATCAGCACCAAGACTGCCGTCCCTGCTTCACAACCCCCGCCGGGGGGTGGGGATGGGGGTTAACTCAGCCCTGAGGTGGGGGGGGGTGTTAACTGATTTAACTACGGCACACGAGTTCAGGCTCGACTGAAGCTTCGTGCCGACCCCACGCACGAAAAAGCTTCCCCGACCGACCCCAGGTGCGACCGAGGGACCGGCCCCCCGCGGGGGGGCTCCCTGCCCGCTGAACGGCCGCGCGGCCCCG